TGGATAAAAAATAAAACGAAACATTGAAATGAAAATGTGTCTCGATGCATTGTACGAATACTCTTCTAGTAGTTTTATAATTAATATATTTTATCTGATAAGATATAAATAAGAAATAAGAAATAAATTCGGAAAGCAAACAACACTCTTTTCATTTAATTTATATTTTGTATAACATATTTTTTCAACATGTTATTATTGCATTCTCAACTCATCACTAAATTAATTATATAATAAGGGATTGGTTGCTGCAACCCATCACATAAATTTTGTGTATCCAAAACCTACCCTAACAGATACCAAATACACAAAAATAGAGCTCCTTTTTACTCCAATCTATTATTATAACATTAAAAAATAGGGTCGATCTTTATATTTAGGGGTTATTTGTTTATTTCTATAATGTGTAACTCAGTTGACAAAAATAGATTTTTATATTGGAGATACGGAAGGACAAAACAGAGAAAAATATGTTCTATAAACCTGTTTCATTACAGTTGTTATACATATGAATCTGTTTCATTACAGTTGTTATACATATGAACCTGTTACCTATGAATATAAACTTGTTTCATTATAGTTGTTATACATATGAACCTGATGCAATCATATATGACTTTGTTTCATTGAACAGTTTGAGTCTGTTTCATTGAAAATTACCCTGTTTCATTGAATAGTTTGGGCATGTTTCATTGGAAATTAGTGGCGATTGTTTTAAACAAAATTATTCTACATTTTTTAAAAATATGGCAATTTTTTTCAAAAAATTTAATAGATAGCTCAATTAAATCTTTGCTAATATTGTGCTAATCAATATATCATTCATATTTATATAAATATTATTTTGTTACCAAACTTATCTATTAATATTAAATAATTACCAAACATAACTATTGTAAATTCAAATAATCATAATACCTTTATAAATTAAAAGAAAAGAAAAATAAATGGATTTATGTGATTGGTTGTAATTAGTTTGTAAGATTTGTATAAATTGAGATGATATATATATATATATATATATATATATAACTTCTTTGTTGATTTTAACACGACAATGCATTCAATTTCTTATTATGGAAAAATAGACTTGGTTATTATGTAACATCAATTATGTTTCTTGTTACTAAAAGGGTTGACTGTTCCTTTTTCCTCCCCCTCTTTTCGGTGAATCAACGATCCCTCCCTCACCGATTTGGCACGCATCACCTGTAGTCGTAGTCTCTCTTTTTAATGTTCACTAGATCGCATATATCTTTCGTAGAGGATATCTTCCAGAACCTCTGTGAGACACGACAGAGGTTCTGTCACTTGA